TAGATCTGTGCCTGTATTACATTTTGATTGCTTTCAAAATAATTTAGATAATGAGATCCCTTGTATTCAAAGAAACAAAAACTAAAAATTTCCATCTAACTAAACCAGATCTAAAGAAAGACTTGTACAAACATAAACATTTTGAAATAAAATGTTATACACCAATGAAACTGTATACATATCATTGAATTTTTGTCAATTAACATAACAACTCTTGAAGAATATACCTGCCAAGGAAGAGAAGGACTTGCTTTACAAATGTGGCAGAGTAGCTGTCATGGAAAAAATAATATCTGTGAATATTAGAGTGAACTCTAACGTATTTACAGAAAACTATTTCTGTGGGACACCTTCAAAGTACTGTATTAGCTTTCATCTTCAAAGCTTTTGTAATTTGTTTCTACTCCCTGAGAGGGGTATATGCTCATATGACAAACTTCTTTACATTGCAAAGCTATAATCATAATGTAATAAATAATTATGAATTACAGTTAAACACATCAACTGATTTCCACACCTGTAAGGATTTAATAATCTTAAAAAAAAAAAAAAAAAGAGGAGGAAAAAAAAAAATTCACTGAAAATCATCAGTGACATGTCAAAAAAATATATATAACCAATAAATTTCTCTTGTACGCCAATTCTAAGACAAGCCTTTTCGTAAAAAAATATGAAATAATTGAAGATTCTGTCTTTTCCCGTGTGCATTCTGGCTTAACACACAACAATGGCCCCATTGAACCAAAGAGAATGTACCTATCTACTTCTGAAAACTTTATGAATCAGATATCACTGGGAAAATAATGCCTTAAACAAGATTCTTGAATGGACTTGTCAGGATGATCTACTGTTCTATACAAAAAATAAATAATTAAACTGTACTTACAATTTTTTTTCCTATTACTGGGTCTGGTAGGATTTTATCCTAACTTTTTTTTTTTTGTAGGAGAGGAAGGGGTTTCAATCTCCCTTTTTTAAAAGAGGACATATTAGTCTTCATTAATTATTTTTTCCCTATAATTATTCAAAAAAATCTTTACAGCTTAATTTCGTGGATTTGCTGTCACTAATCATTTTTGTATATACTACTTTATCTCAAAGTGTAAAGCATATAAAACTTGAGATGCCCAATACATCTAAACGACTGAACACACTATACCTAACATATGAAAATATGCCTCAAAATACTATAGTGTTCATATTAAACAACTGTTTCCATGTTAGTGCTTCACTTTAGATTTACTGATTGCATTTCCCAACTACAAATGATTATCTAAACCTTTAAATCTTGCTCGTATTTCTAAACCTATCCCCTACACTAAATATAGAAAACGTATTTGCTGACACTTCCATCCACTAATCATTTAAGTCCTTTAATACTGGCAACTGTCTGCCAGGTCTGCTTTCTATCAATTTTCTATCTCGAACTATGAATCATAACTACCTTACTAATTATGTATGAATTACAGTGAAATAAAGGTATGTATAACTATGTCTCCATATCTATTTTCTCTTTGGTTTAAGGGGTAGCTCACAGATATCTCAGAAAATTAACCCATTGTACTAGAATGACATGACACATGCCATGTCCACTGTAATTTTAGTTTATTAATTAGGTTTACACATAGATGGCTCCACAAGCGCTTAGTCACTAACGAGACAATAACTAGCAATGCTTATCTCACTGGTTTCCATTTTTCCAAAATTTTCAGAAAGATTCTTCTTTATTGCTTTTGGTATTTTAATAACATTATATCAATAACAATAATAACAGTATCAATATTAATAGCAATAGGGAAAAAAAAATCCCAAAAATATAAGGAATGGGAAAATCGGGAGAAATCATGTACAGCCTACTACTTCGAGTCATTGGTGGCTGAGTACTTGTGGAGCCAGCTGTTTGCAACTAATTTCACAAAAAAAAAAAGAAAAATAGTGGACAGTTCATTACCTGTGGCCAATGGGCTAAGTAAAATGTACTTCTTCAAAAAATTATAAACTATAATGTGAAAAAGAAAGACAGACAGATGGAAAGAAAAAGAAAGCCAAGTAAATTGAGAAAATGTGAAATGCAGTAGTTTTTAGGTGCAAATATCTCAACACTTCTCATTCTTCAACATGACATACTAATTATTTACAGATATATATATCTATATTTAGAAAATAAAATTAAATATGCATATGTAATAATACCAAAGTAAAATCTTTCATATAAAACATATGCATATTAGAATCCTTCCAAAGACAAAAAATAAATGTTCTCCGAGTATTGCCCTTGTTCTAAATTACTCAAAAACAGTCTTATAAAAACATAAAAGTATTTTTGTACTCTTATAGGCATAGCTATGTATCAACTGCTTACTGACTAGAGTGAATCCTCGCCTTCTTTCCTAAGATCCACATTAATACACAGGTAACACGTTATTGGGTCAAAACCACACAAATGAACCTAAACAATAGTGATATATTGTCATCACCATCTGGCATCTTCCAGAGATATGTGTAAAATCATAGCAGGGAATTCCAGGTAAAATTTGTGGCTCTTACATTTGCTTTTTATGCATCATATAGCACGGAATCCTAATTTAAGTAGTAAAAGTAATCCAATAGTTTCTTAATCATCATAATACTGACTCTGGTAAGTAGAACAATGCGGTAACATTGCTAGCCACAAAAAAGTGAGGGACAAACCTAAAAAGACCAGGTACGGTAATACTATACAGGATTTTAGAATCAATAACATACTATAATAAATAGTCATATCTACTGTACAGTACTATAATGTAAAACCATATTTTACATTTAATGAAGGAGTGAAACAAAAATCCAAATTAGCAAATATTGCACCAATGGATTTCAAATGGTTTATGGTATACTGATTTCTAAAAGACAGAGGAATTGGTAGAATTAATTTATAGGCTATTTGAATATAAATATGCTATACATATATTCAATAACTGCTGCCTCTACAACAGACATATAAGTAAATGTACATCTGTAAAGAAAATTAGTAGTAAAGAAATAAAAACATACGGTAAAAAACATACAAAATCATTAAGACACTAATTACGTTTAAACCTAATTCTTGGCATATCATAATAATGCAAATATTTCATAATTTCCCACTGGTTTCAACAAACACATTTTGTTATAATAGAAAATTCCCTTTCGTAAAAAATGAGTATCAGGAAACTGTATTCGGATTACCTGATTTGTATCAACCTAATAAAAAAATACAGATCTGTAATTAAAAACATTCATATTTTCTTTTTTAATGAAAATACCTTTTGTTCTTCCTGCAATATGAAAAGATATTAATTCTCTCCAATGCTGTCTTTTTGTGGATAATGCTGTGTTTTTGAAAACACACAAAACTAAAATATTCTCTCTGGACACGAAGACATACTAGCAACACTAGAGGAGCCTGATGGCCTATGACCTGCTCTTCTAGAACCGCCTTGGGCTGACGACTGTGATGTCTGGGGCTGTTGGGAGGCATGGGCTGTTGGTGCCTGTTGCTGTTGCTGCTGCTGTTGTTGCTGCTGTTGCTGCTGTTGTCTCCCACGACGGGGAGGTGCCAAGAATTCAAACATGCTGTGGGTGTGATGGGACAGCATCTTTCCCAGGTCACTAGGCACAGGATCCATCCAGAAGAAGTCATGATTTAAAGCTGTATCAGCATCTATGAAGGAAAAATGTGAAATATATCTTAACACTGGTTAACCCTTAGTGCGGCCACGCCTAGAGCCATCATGACATAATGACATACCATGTGTTTACACATCATAACCTACTTTAGTGAGCGAGTGTGTGGGCCAGCTCTACACAGCACACACCCAGCCAGAAAAGCTATAGTGTTGCCTAATTTTTACATCACAGAAAATTCTTTCCTATTCAAATACAATAAGCATTTATGAATCTACAATATCAATAATGCATGAACACTCAATGTCAAATATAAACAAATCTCTTGACTACTATAGTTTCTAAAATGCTTAGTGCTGGAATTATCCTCCTGCATCCTAGATATCAGGACTGCATGTTATTAATAACTACTTTTAGGAATAGGTGATTTTTACTTCTTTTCCACCCATTATCTAAAGCTGCCATAAAAACATCAGTCCTATAACAGTCCTAAAAACATTAGTCCTACTACCCATACCTTTGCCCATCATGCTCAACAAAAGAGTTAACAAAAAGGTTCCGAGGCAGAGCACTCTTGCAATCCTTATTCTTACACTAGCTCACCAAAAAGGCATGTACGAGAAAGAATATTTTCAAGAAGTGAGATGGATCAGTTGACCAAATGATAATAAACTTTTCACTAGAAATGTCCATTTCTGACAACAGAAAAACTGAAAATTCATCTTTTTTTGTTCATGACAGCACAAACATGTTTTAACATTCATTACCTTTTATATTCTCTGGCTCCCTAACATGTTCACAGCACCTTACATAAATGTAAGATAAAAGGTATAACCACGTAATCACACTTACCAATTCTTTTTGAGGGATCAAGAGTCAGCATTTTGTCAATAAGGTCACATGCGTGTGGGTCTCGAACATAAGGCTTTAATCTGTCCTTAACCTTCCGTTTGTGGTTCTTGGCAAGTTCCATTGTAGAGTAAAGCGGAAGGTTTTCAACACCCGGCCAAACCTCAGGAGTTATTGACCCACATAACTGAGATATCAAATTGAGCTGATGCTGTTCTGTACTTCCCTAGTAAAAAGAATAAACAAAGATTTTCAAAAGAATTGCCCATTAAAGCCTATACACTATGTGGAAAACATTCCAAAATATGTAAGATAATTCATTACTGACCATGAAGTCATTTTAACATGAAGTATGAGAGGTATTTCAGCACTTCGTGCCACTCACCTGCATTATTGGAGTGCGAGTCCACATCTCTGCCATAATGCAACCTGCACCCCAGAGATCAATAGGAGGCCCATAGTTTCTCTCCCCGAGTAACAACTCAGGCGGCCGATACCATAGTGTCACAACTCGGTTGGTATACCTGGATTTTTTTTATTTTTTTTAGAAACATTAATTTATCAATATGTGTTTTTGCTAATCACATACTTTGTTTAACTGAAGAAAATCAAATTAGAAATGTATCACACCAGTCTAAAAGGGAAGTGATTATCATATGAACCAAATTTCCTGCACATACTGAAATTAACCCATTCAAGTCAGGTAACGTGATTGTTGGGTCATGAAGAAATATCACTGAGGGCCAGGTTATGGGAATATGCCATTATGAAAAATTTGACAGGAGGCTAAGGTGACAATGATAAATGTACAGAGATCTAGGAGAAACATTAGCCGCAGTGGGTATTTAGGAAGGGACTCATGCATTACTTCTGCCAGAAATGAGGTGGAATGTACCATCTGTGAGCCATGGCTAGAAGAGCTCTGGCTGCATGGAAGACACTATTTTCATGCCCAGGAGACAAAGGGGCAGAGACAAAGAGGGAGAGAGAATGGAGGGCAAGAGAGGAAGAGAAGAAAAAGAGAGAGAGAGAGAGAGAGAGAGAGAGAGAGAGAGAGAGAGAGAGAGAAGAGAGAGAAGAGAGAGAGAGAGAGAGAGAGAGAGAGAGAGAGAGAGAGAGAGAGAGAGAGAGAGAGAGAGAGACAGAAAGAGAAGAAAGAGAGAAGAGAAGAGAAAGAGAAGAGAGAGAGAAGAGAGAGAGAGAGAGAGAGAGAGAGAGAGAGAGAGAGAGAGAGAGAGAGAGAGAGTGAGAGAGAGAGAGAGAGAGAGAGAGAGAGAGAGAGAGAGAGAGAGAGAGAGTAGAGAGAGAGAGAGAGAGAGAGAGAGAAAGTAATGGATACATGAAATATGAAGATTTAAGTGTGACATTTTTTGGAATATGAATATCAATCTGGGATATAATTAATAAACAATCCTACTTAAAGTTATCTAAGACAACCTGTCAAAATTTCTGACTGTATATTCTCTGCAAATTTTCATATCAACTTCAGAGGATCACTCCATCTGACTCAAGTGTGCATTCCGGACCGTTAACAAGTCAAGAACATAAGCAACTTATTATGCAACTGGGTAATTCGTCATTCATAAGTCCACTGGAGAAGCTGTGCAGGGATAATGAATCAGCTGAGAAAACCTTTTTGATTTATATTTACAAATAATATGTGATATGTAGTTTAAATTCATAAAAAATTAAATTCAGAAAAAGTTGTATTATCCACATTTCAATCCTACAATGTACATACACTTTTTGACATACTGGTGTGCCTGAACTGCTTGCCTTTACTCATGACTTTATCTGCCTTCAAGCCTCCCTCTGATGAATTTCTTTCCTTTGCAATGTCTCACTTGTTTACTTCCTTTATTGTAATTGTGTACAAACATCTAACAGGTGTTCAAGTAAGGTGTAGTGAAACAACATCATAAAAACTCTTCCATCCTACCTGTTAGGCTGACCGTTTCGCTGGGAAAAAGCTCTGGCAAGACCGAAGTCAGCAAGCTTCAGAGTCCCTGATTTGGTAATGAGCACATTTGCTGCTTTCATGTCACGATGTAGAATCTGAAATTAAATATTTGATCTAACAGTTCTCTTAAACATTACAGGGATTATAATCAAACTTCAGATATAGCACTATGTCTGTACAGGAACAATGAGTGTTTTACTGAGGCAAACTATGACAACTGAAATAAACAAGTGATATAAGAGAAAGAAATTTAAATTCCTCATTCGCTATTTCCAAGTTTTTCATTCATGGACTTCCCTTAATACATAGATAGACGTTTCTTCACATTTTTTCTGGCCAAGACCATGATTTTCTCAAAGGTAAAGATTTTTTTTTAAAAATTATATAAAAAGGATAAAAGCTGGAGAAATTTAATAACAGCAAATAGAACTTAACAAAAACAAAATAATATCTTTCCTGTGTGCATGCTACATTAATCAGTCATCAATGAACATGAACAAAATACAAATTTGACTAAACAGAAATTATAAAACCACTTGCATCTTCAACCCACCTTACAACTGTGGATGTAAAATAAGCCTTCTAAAAGCTGTTGCATTACCCTCTTTATCTCCCCAAGGCTGAATTTTACATTGTAGTTGGACAATAACCCAGCCAGGTCATGTTCACAGAAGTCAAACACCAAATAGAAAGTTGAGCGATACCGATTATATGCTGATGCTGTCAATTGAAAGAAATATATTTAGTGTTAACGATCATAATACACCATTACTGGTATAGTATGACTCTTTCATAAGATTATTATAATGACAATATTGAAAAAAGACAGTTTGAGTATGTTCATACCAAATTTTATGTTTATTACATCATTCAACTTTACTTATAATTTTATCCAGAAGCATACAGAAGCATGTCATTACAATGTAAAAAAAAAAAAAAGGAACAATAAAGTACTTACGTTTAGTGCGACAAATTTCATTCAACTTAACAACATTGTCATGCTTTAGCTGTTGAAGAATCTTGATTTCTCTTAGTGCCGTGATTGGAAACTGAAAGAAAAATAGGTAGTAAGTTGCAGCCATATTTTTATATTACAAATTGATATATCTTTTCCTATTATTCTTAAAAGGGCAAAAAACTGTAACAATATGCACTATATAAAAAATATAAATCATACACAGCACCAATAAAATATGGTCTTATGTAGTAGCTCAGATTTAAAAACAACACAACACTAAATACTAAATATCGTGAATGAAATGCTCTGAATTTGATATCCATTGAACTTTAAAATTTTGAATGAATGCTGAAGTGACTGAATGCATACATACCCCTTCTTTCTCATTATCCATCAGAACTTTCTTCAGAGCCACAACTTTCTTTGTTTTCTTATGACGGGCTTTAAAAACCTCCCTGAAAAAGAAAATTCATTAAATAACACTGTTCATTTAACATAGAAGAAAATATACATCTTGGCACTGTTGCTGAAGTTCAAAAGAGCGTTCTTATTATAACCTGCCGACATTTACTAGGTTGATGAGAATGCACCTCTGCACCTACTGTTCATCATTATGCTGACTCAGAAATTGTGCGGATGGTTGTAAGTCTGTAGCAAGCAATTAGAGGAGACAGCAATGATGAGAATGAGGAAGATGTACCTAAAAGAACCTCTATTAATTAGTTAAGTTAACTGTATGATGAACTGATTGATTGCAATGAAGTTATGAATAGCTAGGTATTGGAAATGTGCACATGGGAAAGCTGGGAATACAGGAACTGGGAATGCAGGAGCAGGGATATAACAACCATTAAGAGGAGAAGCAGGAGAGCAGCAAAGACGAGGGGGAGAGATGCAGCGAGGCATTGGGTGGTGGAGGGCCAGTGGAGTGACCACATGCAGGTGGCATTATCCCCAGCCCTAATTCCTCCCTCTGTCTTTTCTTCTCTTCTCCTCCAATTTCATTAGATTTTTACATCTGTGCTAAATTTCCCATCCTTGATTCATAATTATGAACGGATATGAATACTTTGAGGCTATTTCTCAAATGTGCCAAATAGTCAACTTAACCTCCCTTAATGAATTCATCTGTCATTTAGCTAAGGCCTCCAGGTTCCAAAAATGCATCCAATGATATCTAAAATAAACCCCTTACCAACTGCCGCTTAGTGCCAATTCTCTATTTGTGTTCTATTTTGCAATAAATAGTTGAAATATTCTAAACACATCACACATGCCAATAAAACTTGATTCAAAACACTAAAAAAAGTCCAGTGCATAATGAATTCTCTAAGTTATTAGATGTAAAAATATAAGCCTCACAGTAGGTCTCTCTATCTTCAAGTAACTGATGTAGTTCTGTCAAAAACTCAAATGTACTTCTAAAGAAAAGAGCTTTCAACTGGAAAAAAAAATAGTTCTTGAAAGTTCAGTTCCTCTATTGACAATGATAAGTGAGAAAATCTTTCAATAAACCAGCCTACTATAAGCAAGGACAGTATCATGTTGCTTAATGTACGTAGCAACTCAGAGCTGGTTCCAGGATTGTGTTGGTTATACTGGTTTCAGCATGGGTTGTATGGACAAAAAATATAGCAAGGAAGTTTATCCTCAAAAAAATTCTAATTATATATTAGCCAGAAACTGCATTTCATACAATTTGTCTCCCTAAACCCTGATTTCCTAAAAGTCTCCTAAGCATGTTGGATAGGGAGTGGGGTACCAACCTTTATGATCCAGGTGATATGACCATCACACCGTGAAAAATTTTGGATTGTGGCTAGGTGATGTGAATGTGCCTTCATGGAGAAATCTGGCTGAGGGCCAGGGTGACGGGTATATGCCATCATGAGAATTTCGGCTGAAGCAAGGGATGACAAGACTAACTCGCCATAAATGCACAAAGCTCTTGCTGGCAGAACAAACTCACTGGGCATTTAGGAAGGCCCTCTTCAGTAAAATACATGTGAAATGTACCGTCCATGAGTCATGGTTTCAGAGAGTACACTATATCTATACTTTGGATCCTGTACCTTCCAGCCATGACCGGTGGCACAGGTTGCATCACAGAAAATTGAATCTTACCAAAATAAAATTAATATAACATGTTATTCATTGTTATCATTATTTCACTGAGTTATGGATAACTTGAGAGAGATGATATGGAATCTGTGCAAGAAAAACAATATTCAACCATCTGGGTGCAGTATATCAAATGAAATGTTAATTAAATGGCTTTCTTCTCGTCTACTTTTCTGTTATGATAAGTTTTGAAGTTTGTTTTTCCAATCTTTCCTAAAGAGCTACTTTGCTATTGATAATACCTCTCTCACCTTCCAGACAAACTATCATTATTAGCCAGTAACAAAAACACATGAAACTATTGTAATCTATCATAAACAGGCCAATTTTTGCAAAGAATTCACCTAACGTGGATGTCCTGGTAGCATATACCCTACTAGTATCAATATTAATTTTAGACCTCAAGTGTTACTGAAAAAATACAACCTACAGTTTGTCTCTGAATCCTTTATATACTCATTTCTTTTCAAAATTTGGTTCTAAAATTCCAGGGATCATCTATATTCCTCTAGTGCATATAACTGTACTTTCAATTTCCTGAAACAGTCCTACTTCATAATGGCAAGAAATGGCATCAATTTTCCTTTAAAAATTACCCACTATTGTGCCTCAATTATAAGTATTGTGATAAAAATGCTATCCATTTTCTGATTTATTCACATTTAATACACAAAAATGTAATTTGTTTACTGTCAAATCCTCCTAAGGCAATATTCCTTGTCAATAAAGATCTTGTTCGAGGTTACATACACTTTAATGATTTTACAACGGTCTCTTAGTGTTGGTGCCATCTATAAATAACTATCTCATTGATCTTTAATCTGTAGATCCACTAAAGAGAATATTGATTTATATATCCTCTCCCAAACTGAACAGTAAAGCAAACTGGTCTAATTCCCAATGTCCCTTGATCCTCCAAATGTAGTTTTACCTACAGTAACCTAGCTGACAGTTATATAAATGACCAAAAACCGATACCGAGAACGGGAAAACGCGGCGAAAAGGGAGAAAGGGAACTAAATCTAAAAGAAATGGCAGCAAGCCTACAGAAGCCAATGCCAGAGGCCTTCCCTGAGCCTTGGCCTCCTCTCCAACAAGGCACTCAGGACGCAAGACACCACTTCTTACCCGAACGTCCCTTGGCCAATCTTGTCGAGCTTCTCATATTTGCTGACTTCATCACAAAAGGGGAAATGTAAGTCGTCATAGTTCCTCTCACGATTTCCAAGCATTTTTGTGACATTCACACAAAGCTTCGGTTCGTTTATTTACTTCGATCAGGAGTGCCAACGCTTACCATTCTATTTATGTCTTAAATGGCGATGTTATTATTATCTTCAGAAAATAAGTCCCCTAAAATATCTCTGAAATAATACTTTCCTATATTTTTTTGGTTAAATAAACAGCTCACTATCAATTAAAACATACTGTTAGGAATGTGTACCCAATATAGGGTTGGTAGTTCCGAAGTCTATAAACAAATGTATTTCGTCCTTTTCCGAATGTATTTTTGTGTAGCTCTTTGAAAATGAATTATATTTTTGTTTCCAATTAAAATTTATGTTATGTAATGTGACTTATATAAGTTATTGTAACTGGCAAAACTATAATTCCTCTGAATCAACGACGGATGTTGCTAATAGCTGGGAGTGTAGTATTCCCATGGCCGTATTTTTATGTGTAGATAGGCATATGCACTAATAGAGAGAAGTTATTATGAATGCGTTATTGTGAATTGTAATCCTTTACTCGTTTTACTACTGCCACTACTACATGTGTTATTATTTATGCTTCCTGGAGCGAAGGGAAGGGCAGGTAGCACTCATAGTACAGTACCATTACCCCGATGTGCCCACCCCCCTTCGGCACAAAAAAAAAAAAAAAAAAAAAAAAAAAAAAAAAAAAAAATATATATATATATATATATATATATATATATAATATTATATATATATATATATATATAATAAACAAAAGAAATAAAGATAAAGAATGAAATAAATAAATAAAATAAATTAATAAACACATCGATAAAATAAAAAGTTTGAAGCTCGTTAGCTCAACTGTCTTCTGATTACTGTTAATCTTGTTGGAAAATACAAAAATAATTTTCCATCTTGTCTTGCCATGTGTACATTTCTATCAATCATTCTTCATATATTTTGAGTATGGCGGTTCAAAGAGACTTGTAAATTGAGTTATTCAACTTACGTGTCCGTTTCCTAGTCGAAGAAGATGGCTTATCACAGGCAAGCTAGGAAAAACAAGTATTTTTCAAGTAAACAAGCTTAGCTGACTGAAATCTGCCGTGAGTGTCTCCGTACTTCGATAGCAGGTCTAAATTTAACTTCATCTACGTCTGATCTTGTAATTGGAGTGACTTAGTCTACATATTCCATTTCATATTACTGTAAGTGTATGTTATTGTTTTTCCCAGGTTTTATTTGATTGTAATAAGGGTAGGTTTATGGTGAAAAATGTTTACTGCTTCTTTCGGTCGCCGCTGATTCTGCTACAGGATTTGCTGTCGCTTCTGCTGCTGATGTAGCTAGTACTATAACTGCTGTCGCTGCCGCTGCTGATCTAAATACTTCTGCCATTGCTGCTGTAACTACTGCCGAAACTGTTGCAATATATGCCGCCGCTGCTGTTGCAAATACTGAAGCTGAAACAGCTTTCGCAACTAATGAAACTAAAGCTGCTGCTAGTGCTACAATTACTGAAGTTGAAGCTGCTGTTGCTGCTGCAACTACTGCCCCTATTGTTTCAGCACCTGCTGCTGATTGTTTACTGGTGTTCCAAGACTACAGAATGATATTATTATTGAAAAGTAAAAAATAATTTCCCAACGTTCCTCTTTTGTCAAAAGAAAAAATGTGTATGCATATTTGATAAAAGTCCGGGACTCTCAAGTACTACCTTCAAGGTATGTATATATATATATATATATATATATATATATATATA